AAATGTCAGGCGTCTGGCTGTATCCGAATAAGACTTGTAGGAAACCAAGCTTCCAAACATCATCAAAACCTTTGTAGATAGGGATTCACTTCACAAAAGTTGTTAAACTCAATGAGTATTCCCCTTGATATGCTACAGGTTATTGGCCCTTCAAAGACTAGTGAGTTGATTCCTGATGAGTATCCTGCGTTTGCATCCTCAATAAACAAACCATACTCTTCATCTTTACAGTATAGAGCTATGTCGCAAGGTGCTATGTTGAAGGCTCTTCTTCATTTTGAGACACTTGAGTGCTGATGGAATAGATGGCTTGCTCAAAAAGACGAGTTCTGACCACTCCAGGAGGTGCATCAGATGAGCAATGGGTTGTATGAGTCGAAAGAGACAGATTAGGGATAGACCAAGGATCGTTTGCAGTCAGAAAATCTTCGATCATAGAGGATTGGTCATTGGTTATGGGTAGGGGAGGCATGACCGCAGGGAATGGCTCGTTGGCTGTGGTCAGAGAGGATTTCCTAAATCAAGATCATTGTTAAAACGTGTTGAATCATGCCCTTCATGCCTTTGCATAATCTTCTTAACATTTTCTTCAACTTCATCAAGAGCATAAACAACTTTGTCTAGGATTGATTAAAGTTCTTTGGTCTTGTCTAAGACTTTGTATACTCTTTCTTAGTTTCATTGAGGGCATTTTCCATGTCATCAAGCCTCAAATCAAGGGTCTGAATCTTGTTCTTAGCATTGCGAAGCTCATAAGTGTGCTTGGCTTGCTCTTCTTCCATGGTGTCAAATTTCTCAGCGAACATGGCTGCATCTTTGACTGTATGTTCCTTTATGGATTTGATTTGGGCAGAAAGTTCTTTAAAATTCTTATTGAAAAGATTTAACATGCCATCGATTATCTCATGTAGGGCGGCTTTAGATACGGCTTGAGAATCGATGAACTGCTTGATTGTGGCTTTAAGCTGCTCCAAACGGTTACTGATCTGCATATTCTCAGCTTGTTGGCTCAGGATCTGATGAGGGAGACCTTGAACATATGTTCTGGGGTTGAAAATAGGAGATGCATAAGGATCATCTCAGTAGTAGGGACTGGTTCGGGACAGAGTTCCGATCCATAGAGAGAAGATCACGCATGTATTGTACTTCTCGGCGTCGAGTGGCTTGAGGAATGTTGTAGAAAACTTCCTCGTAGTAGAGATCTCGGTCCATAGGGTTCATTGCTTCAAAAAATAAAACAAGGAAAAACAAAACCAAAAATCAGTAGAAAAAGGATGTTCTAGAGTTGATTTACTAACCTTCTAGGGTTTTCTGAAGAGACAACGCTGCTTCCCCGGAAACGGCGCCAAAAAATTGATGTGGTGTGTGGGATGTAAGCAATTTTTACCCTATATAAAAACAATGAGGCTGCAAGTGCACAGATAATCAATTGTAGTACTTAGGTATCGAATCCACAAGGAAGGAAGATCATTTCTGCAAAACCTTTTGAAAGAGATTAAGTAACAAAGTCTAGAACTATCGATTTTTATAGGGTATTTTTGGGTGTCACTAAAGAGGTAAATCTTAAACTAAATGGGAAATGAAAAAGTACTTAAAAATCGATTGAAAAACTAAAGAAACCTAAGTTAAAAGCTTGAGAAAATCGGTGTAAAGACTTATAAAAAAGGCGTTGTGTTGTTTGGGAATATCTATGGGGTATGATCGATTGAAAACATGCTAAAAAGAAAATAAAAAGATCCTAGCTAAATCTTAGAACTCGAGCATGGATGTAGGACTACGTCACTCTCGTGATCATATCCAATTGTCACCCACAACTCTGACCAGTAGCTTTCGTCTCTAGCCCCGGTAATAGGTATTAGCAATAACTTGTACAAGACTCATCTACATTCATAACTCACCCATAGGTAGCTTTCGTTTCGTATGGCAGAGTTGCTCTTCTCAAACTAGATCAGGCAGATAATGAAAATACTCGCAACACTAAGTACCTAAATCAAATAATAGTTCATGATGCCAATCTCATGCATTAAAAATAAGTTTAGAAAATAAAGTTCTAGGATTCGGCTTGATAGCTCATGCAATTCTCATGATGTATTCATATCTTTGCGTACACTTAGCATGCATTTTTAGTCCAAGAATAGAGTTCAATCCATTCATATAGGTCGGTTTCTTAGAGTTTTGTCGTTGTTTTAGATTTTATAGGAAATGAATCAGGTCCCAAAGATTCTTGCATGTTTGGAGTGTTTTTAGTTACTTTGGAGGCATTTGGAGACCTGATGGAGCCGAGACCGCTTGGAGGAAGCTCTTGTCTTGGTGCATGAACTCGGACAATTATCTTCACTGGGCAATATGCTTGAAATACTTCCTGAGACAGAGGTCTTACATTTTGATTTAGCCTCCGGTGTCTTCACCAAGTTTGTAGAAGAGCGAGCCATATTCCCGAAAAGCTTGGAATAAGGCGATTTGGAGATCTGAGCCGGAAGATACAGCCGATTGAAGATGAACCTATCTTGGAGCCATTTTTGACCAATGCAATGCGCCAAAAAGAACAGCTGCACCAAAAGCCTTTCTTTCTCCGGATGCATATGGTCTCTTCACAAAAGTTGGAGCTGATTGAATTACCTTTCTCCTGGAGCTGGAAAATCGAGTATCGGATCATTGAGAAGAAAGTTATGGCAGTTTAAGTGCAATATTGTCCAATTCCACACCGAGATGAGTACCGGGAGAATGATGGCCAGAGTATGCAACATTTTGAGGGTTTCTCACTTCAGAACCTTCACCGAGGAGTGAACTGAGGTATTTCTGGTTGGGGTAAGCTGAGCCTTATAGCCAATTTTGCTTTTGTTTCCACTTCGACCAAGTTTATCCCTAGATGAAGTCTGGGCAATCTTCAAAGTGTCGAAGCTTATCTCCACTCTGACCAAGTTTATCCCAAGGTGAAGCCCGGTGCAATCTTCAAAGTTCTGAAGCTCATCCCTACTCCTAGCAAGATTATCCCGAGGTGAAGTCTGGTGCATCGAAGCTTATTTTCATTCCGGATTGCACATCGACCAACACATTCTTGGTGTAATCTTCAAAGTCTTGAAGCACCTTCTCGGAGTCATATGCACCCTTCACCAAACACTTTTACACCGAGGAGCACATTGGACATATCATGTCCGGTGCAAAGGTGCCAGATGTTTATAATAGAATTTCACCAGGTTAACACCCGGTTTGTCCCAGGTTGACCCTGAACTTAAAGATCTAGTATAAATATGTTTAAGGGTTGTTTCCAGCACACTTAAGCTTCATTCTCTAGACTTATTTGCCTCTTTTGTGAAAGAAAAGACCTTGTGAGAGATATCTCCTTCTTTCTTCTTAATCAAAAGAGTTTGAGAGTTTAATCCATCTTATCTATCATTTCATCTCATCTTTTATCTTTTTCCTCTCATTAATCATGTTTAACTTCTCATCTTGCAAGGGATTAAGAAAATTAAATATGATTAGTGAGTATTCTTTTTATTAGGGTTCTAGATATGTACATTAGGGTGCTTAAGTGTTATTAAGGTGTTTAAGAAATAGATTTATGTTTTCCATTCTCTAAATAGCTGATCTTAATGCTGGGTTTTTGATAATCACTGTATCCCTGATCTTAGGTATTTCTCCACCCAAAAGGTGTTTGATGAAATGCCTGAACCAGCTATTATAGAGGTTTATGCATGAATGCCATGAGAATGTTTGTTTAATGCATAAATGACATGTTAGGATTGATTTGTAATGCTTTCTTATTGTTATGTCTGCAATGACAATTGTATATGAGTAATGATTTGAGTTGTGTTCATTGTCTTGAGAAAGAATTGAACTTCTTTTTAATCCTAAGTCACTTGGAATCATTCATCATATTGTCATTAGCATCTTAGTTTAGCACATATGGCACCCTAATCCACTATCATGTCTAGAAATCTATGTTTTTATCATCTTTAAATCATCATCATCATTTGCTTTTGTTAACTGCTTTGCTCAGTTCTTAATCTTGTTCTACATTGCTTTAGTGTCACTTGTTACCAAACTTGTTTATTGTTGAGCTTGGATTAAGATTTGATTCATGCAAATTAGTGTCTAAACATCACAGTTTGGATTGATACCTCTTGTACTACAACTGCATGAGGAATTAAACCTCCAAGAGTCACAAAACTCTTGTTTTAATTTGGCGTCGTTGCCATTATGTGTTTGTTTAACATTAGTTTTTGAATTAATCTTGAGATCAAGCCACTTTTCTATTGTTTTACTGATCGCCATTTGAGTTCTGTCTTTATGTTTCAGGTTTATGAACACCAGAACCTTTCATAGATAACATCCACCTGTTTGAAAAAAGAGCTAGAAAAAAAAGAGAGAGAGTAGAGCATCTAGAAAGGCGTGGTTGGATAATCAGCAAGGAAGGGGTGAGCATTAGACTCAGGTTAATCAGAATATGGCAGCAAGGAATGAGCATCAAGCTCAGATTAATCAGAACCAAGCTGTTAGGAATGAGCATCAAGCTCATGTAAATCAGGGGAACCAGAATCAGCATAGACAGCATCAGGATCAAGGTGCTGCTCAAGATCAACCCAACCCCAACTCTCCCAGACTCCCATGCGTCAGGCTCATCAAAGTGTAAGAAATCAAGTCTTTGTGGGAGCAGATGATAGGGAAAATGCTCATCAAAACCGCCAGGGGATTCAACCACCTCCAGTTGAAAACAACTTTGAAGTCAAGGCTTCATTGTTAAACATGGTGGAGAACTCCAAGTTTCATGGTCTGCCAATGGAAGACCTCTTGGACCATCTAGACCAATTTGATAGGATATGCAACCTTATCAAAATCAGTGGGGTCTTTGAAGATGGATTCATGCTCAGACTATTTCCCTTCAGCCTTGGAGATAAGGCAAAACAGTGGGAGAAAAATCTTCCCAAGGTTCTATACAAACTTGGGACCAATGCAAGCAAGCTTTCTTGTCTAAGTTTTTCTCCACCTCCAGGACTGCAAAGCTCAGGAACCAAATCTCATCCTTTATACAACATCAAAGCAAAACTTTTGGTGAATCTTGGGAGAGGTTCAGAAGCTACACCAATCAATGCCCTCACCATGGGTTTTCAGAGTCATCACTGCTCAGCACTCTTTATAGAGGTACCCTGCCAAAGATCAGAAACCAGCTTGATACTGCCTCAAATGGTAACTTCCTTGCCAAAGAGATCAATGCTGCTATAGAGCTGGTGGAGAATTAGCAATGAGCAAGGACACCTATGGTGAAGAATATAAAGGTTCTAATGAAGAGCAGAAGATGAGAAATGATATAAATGAGCTACAATCCAAGCTTGACAAAGTGTTACTGGCGTATCAAAAGCCTATTCACTATATAGGAGAGTTTTATGAGCCAGACTGCTTTGAAAATGTCCAAGAAGAAGGTCTGACCCAAGAGTAATTTAACTACATTGGTGGCCAAAAAAAGTTCAACAGATTCAACAACTACAACAACCAGAACTTGTCTTATAGGAATCCCAATGTAGCTAATCCAGGTGATCAACAACAAGGACATAATCAAGATTATGCTCCAAAGAACCAATTTCAAGGAAATTACCAAGGGAAGCAAACCTTTCAACAACAAGTGGCTCAGAATCAAGGTAATAACTTCATTCCTCAAGACAGGTTTCAGAAGAAGAAGTATCCACCTGGTTTTGGTCAGCAACAGGTTCAGCAAGGTCCTTCACAGCAACAGGGTTCAGATCACAGTGGGGTTCTACAACAGATTCTGCAGGGACATCAAATGGTGGAGTATAACTTCAACGACCTCAACTCAAAATATGAGGCATTACAAAATCAGATGAAGACCCTTGAGAAAAATCAAGCTTCATCATCTTCAAGGTACTCTTCCAGGAAAACCAGAGCCTAATCCCAAGAAACATGCTCATGCTATAACCTTGAGAAGTGGCAAAGAGCTTCCTGAGAGAGGCCAAAGACCAGTGCTCATTGAGGACAATGAGCAACTTGGTGGGGAGGAACCTATAGAGATTGATCAAGATGATGAAGTTGTAGAGCATAAAGTTGAGAAGAAAGGTAAAGGAAAGGCTATTGAAAGGAAAATCCGCCTGAAGCCTTATGTGCCACCACCATATCAGCCCAAGCTACCATTCCCTGGCAGGTTCAAGATATAATTGCTAGAGAAAGCAAGGGCTCTCTTTGATAAACAGATGGAAAAGGTGGAGATTCCAATGCCATTAATAGAAACTTTTCTTTTGGTGCCACAATATTCAAAGTTTTTGAAGGATGCTATAGTTGAGAAGACAAAGGAACTTCAGGGCATAGTGGTGCTTAGTCATGAATGCAGTGACATTATTCAAAAGAAGACTATACCAAGGAAGTTATCTGATCCAGAAAGCTTCACTTTGCCATACACTTTGGGATCTTTGAAGTTTGCTAGTTGTCTGTGATCTAGGAGCTTCTGTGAGCTTGATGCCTTTTTCTATTGCTAAGAAGTTGGGGTTCACCATCTACAAACCCTCCAAGATATCTTTGGTGCTTGCTGATAGATCTGTGAGGCTTCCTATAGGACTTCTTAAAGATCTGCCAGTGGATATAGGTTATTTTGAAGTTCCTACAGACTTCATTGTTCTGGAAATGGATGAGGAGCCAAAGGATCCACTTATCTTAGGAAGACCTTTTTTAGCAACAGCAAGGGCAATGATTGATGTAAGAAATGGCAAGATAGATCTCCATCTTGGATCTGAGGTGCTTACGTTTTACATCAATGAAGTGATGAAGAAGCCCCCAATAAAAGGTCAAGTCTTTTACATAGATACAAAGGAGGAGCTTGCAGATGAACTTCTTGAGGAGTTAAGCCTTGAAGACCATCTTCAAATTGCTTTAACTAAAGAACATGGGGAGTATGGCTATCTTGAAGATGAAAATATGGGGTCCATGAAGCTTCTAGACTCTCACAAGCCATTGGAAAGCAATGATTCATTCATAGAGTTGAGTTACAAAGGCCTAGAAAATGGTCTTGGAGGCTCAAAAACGCCTAAGTGTCAGGAATTTGTTCACTCCGGGGTGCATCATCTCGATATGGAACTTGGAGTGAATGAAAATCAAAGGAAAGAGGCCACTCCAAGATTTATATAGACCACAAACAGCTCGGAGTGTAAGGTTTCAGAAGGAGGAAATTGCGATGGGTTTTACTACAGGATATACACCGGCAAGAAGGAGCTCAGTGTAAAGAATTTTCACAAGAAGAAGAATACACCAGGATCAACATCGGCCAAATCAAGCCCGGTGTATATGCTTGACGTTCAGAGGAGTTTAGACAGTTTTGGCTCCGGGCTGCATCTTCCAGAGGCACATCGCGGTGCAAAAACAGAAGAAGAAACACCAGCAACAACACCGGCATCAACATCGGCCATTTCATGCTCGGAGTCTAATGTCTTTTGTGAGACAAGGGAAGAAAAATTCTACACCGGATGCATCATCTTGATGTGGAACTCTCTGTAGACTCATGTGTCAAGGAAAAAGTGGGGGTTTTAAGGGAAAATGGACAAAGATCAAGGGACAAGAAGCAACACCAATGGAACACAAGCTGATCAAGCAAACTTCAATGAGGATTGGAGTGAACTTAAAGCTCCTAAGGTGGAACTCAAGCCCCTCCCTAGTGGTCTCATGTATGCATTTCTTGGTTCTAATGCATCTTATCCAGTCATCATAAATGATAGCTTATTAAACCATTAAGAGCATGCATTGTTGAATGAGCTAAGAAGGTTTAGGAGAGCTATAGGCTATTCATTAGATGACATCAAAGGGATTTCACCTAGTCTATGCACACATAGGATACATTTTGAGGAGGAATCTATGACTTCTATTGAACATCAGAGAAGTTTAAACTATAATCTAAAGGATGTTGTAAAGAACGAGATCCTCAAACTCCTAGAAGTAAGAACTATCTATCCAATTTCTGATTCTAGATGAGTTTCTCCAGTTTAAATTGTTCCTAAGAAAAGTGGCATTGCTATTATCAGAAATGAAAAGGATGAGTTGATCCCAACAAGAACAGTAACAGGACACATAATGTGCATATATTACTGGAAATTGAATGCAGCCTCTAGGAAAGATCATTTCCCTTTGCCCTTCATTAACCAAATGTTAGAGAGACTTGCTAATCATCCATATTACTGCTTTTTAGATGGTTACTCATGCTTCTTCCAAATTCTCATTCACCCCAATGACCAAGAGAAAACCACTTTCACATGCCCTTATGGCACCTATGCATAAAGGAGAATGCCTTTTGGTTTGTGTAATACTCCTGCTACCTTCCAAAGAGTGATGATATCAATCTTTTCTGATCTAATAAAGGAAGAAGTAGAAATGTTCATGGACGATTTTTCTGTCTATGGACCTTCTTTTTCTTCCTGTCAGTCTAATTTTTGTCAGGTACTATAGAGATGTGAGGAGAAAAACTTGGTTCTAAATTGGGAAAAATACCACTTTATGGTGAAGGAGGGCATTGTATAGGCCACAAGATCTCTGAAACTGGTATTGAGGTGGATAAAGCTAAGTTGAGGTAATGGTCTTGGGAGCTCCTAGTTTAGTCAAGGGAGTGAGAAGCTTTCTGGGTCATGCATGGTTTAATAGAAGGTTCATCAAGAACTTCTCCAAGATTGCAAAGCCTTTTACAAAACTTCTTTGCAAGGATATGGAGTTCCTGTTTGATAAAGAGTGTGAAGATGCTTTTAAGGAGATCAAGCAAGCTCTAATCAGTGTACCTATTTTTCAAGCACCAGACTAGAGTTTTAATCATGATAGATGCCAGAGATTTTGCTGTTGGAGCAGTCCTAGGCCAGAAGAAAGACAAGAAGTTGCATGTTATCTACTATGAGTAGAACTTTGGATGGAACTCCAGAGAAGTATGCAACTACTGAGAAGGAAATGCTGGTCATTTTCTATGCATTTGACAAATTTAGGTCTTATCTGGTGGGATCAAAGGTGATAGTGTACTCTGATCATGCAGCTCTGAGGTACTTAATGGCAAAGAAAGATGCTAAGCCAAGGCTGCTGAGATGAGTTCTTCTTCTTCAAGAGTTTGACATGGAGATAAAGGACAAAAAAGGGATAGAGAATGGAGTTGCTGATCACCTCTCAAGACTAAGGGTTGAAGCTGAGGTTCCAGTAGATGACTCTTTGCCAGAAGAGCATCTGATGATGGTAAAGGCTCTTAATGAGCTGGAGGAGCTCAAGTCTCTTCAAGAGAAAGATAGTCCTTGGTATGCTGACATAGTTAACCATTTGTCTTGAGGAGTGGAGCCACTTGAGTTAAGAAACTACTAAAGGAAGAAGTTTCACAAAGACATCAAGAGTTTTTATTGGGATGAGCCTTATCTGTATGTGCTGAACAAAGATCATCTTTACAGAAGATGTGATCCAGAAGAATAGGTTCACCCCATTCTAGAAGTTGAGGTGTTTGATGTTTGGGGAATAGACTTTATGGGTATTTTCCCTTCTTCATATAGGAACCAGTATATATTGGTAGCTGTGGACTATATCTCAAAGTGGGTTGAAGCTCTAGCAAGTCCTACAAATGACTCTAATGTTGTTGTGAAGCTCTTCAAGACTATCATCTTCCCAAGGTGCATTATCAGTGATGGTGGATCTCATTTCATCAACAAGATATTTGAGGGTCTCTTACGGAATTATGGTATCAAACACAAGGTTGCAAGTCCATATCACCCCCAGACCAGTGGACAAGTGGAGGTCTCCAACAAATAGATCAAGGCAATCTTGGAGAGAACAGTGAACAATACAAAGAAAGATTGGAGCAAGAAACTTGATGATGCTTTGTGGGCCTATAGAACTGCTTTCAAGACCCTCATAGGAACTTCACCATTAAATATTCTTGATGGAAAATCTTGTCATTTGCATGTGGAGCTTGAATACAAGGCTCTCTAGGCTGTTAAGTTCTTGAACTTTGACATCAAACAGCTCAAGATAAGAGACTTTTTCAGCTCCACGAACTTGATGAGATAAGACTTGATGCTTATGAGAGCTCAATGATCAACAAGAAGGGGAAGAAGAGTCTTCATGACAAGAAGATCTTGAAGAGGGACTTCAATG